TGTGTATAGTAACTTTCATCCTTTTAAGTTATAGTCTTAAGTTTTGGCAGTGAGCATCATCATAGTTGGTTACAGGATGTTTCACACCCTCTAATTCTTTTACACTTCTCTTTGGTCCAAAGGGAGGCAGAGGCAAATCCTGGTAAGAATGGATTGTATAATTGTCTTTCAGGGGAGAGACCTCTTAAACAAGTTTGAGGGGTGCTTATTCATAAATAGGCAGTGATAGACCACTTCACAGACTCAGAAGATGCGGGAGAATTGGAGAGTACAATATTTTTGGGAGCATCAGTTTAGATGTTTCCATTCTGTGTGTCAGTCTTCCCCTTCCCCATGGAGGCCTTTGATCTTGGCGAAACAGACTTACCTTGTCTGGAAGTTCAACTTTCTTTGAAGCTCAGCATGTAAACAGAGATGTAGATAGATATATCCACCCATATCTATATTTGATATACTTATAGGCCTGCCTTTATATACACAAATGAATGGCGTATTTGGATGATAATTATATTTATGTGTTAACAGTAAATTACTTCCACACCCTTTATATTATATTTACATATGAATGAATGGATGATAATTAAGCATTGGTTTTAGTCTTTAGATTTCTCTTATCCTCTTCCTGCAGAAGGCTTTGGCCTGGTCTTCAGACTTAGCTTTTCTTTGGTAGTTAATCACCTTTTTTTTGAAAAAAATCTTTTTCTTCATAGCTCAGAGAATTTAACAGTATTTTTCTGATTCTGTTTTGTGGTATTTTAAGTCAGTGTCTCGTTATGTTGCCCAGTCTTGCAGTCAAGCAGTTTCTCAAGTAGCTAGTCCATTGTTCTGCAGTTACTATTTCTCTTTCATTGCCAATTTAAAAATCTCATTTTAGCTCCTGCTGCCTACTGTCCTGGAACCCTAGGGATTTTTAGGGCATTCCTTTGGGATCACACTTGGGAGAAAAGCACATTGACCAGGTGCTGAGTTAAACTGTACCATGAGTTCTGTATCAGCTTTGATCAGCCTCATGTGGGGAGTTCAAGAGTTGCTCAGAATCAAGAGAGATAAGTACAGATCTTTTATATTATTATGTCAGTTAGTCATTACATGCAAGTTTCCTGGGAAGGATGGGACTTGGGCTAGACCCTTTTTTGCAGGTGAGATAGTCCCTGAAAGGGCTGAGTGACACTACTTCCCATAGTTAAGACAAGTCTTCCATAAAAGGAGGAGTGGGCAGCACCTCACTGTCTCCTACGCTTCTGTATTCACCAAATGAGCATTTGTTTTTGTTTTTTAATATTATTAGGAACCACGGATTTAAATATGTTAAATAACATTTAACAAACTTTCTATTGACTTATATTGACTTATACATACTGCATATGTACAGCTCAAATGTTCACAGAATAAATACCTCAGTGGGGCAGGTAAGCCCCCACCTGTGAGCCAGCCGGCACACGGAATGGGGAGAAGCAGGTCAGCTAAATCTTCTCTGTAAGCTGCTGGAGCATGAAGCAGGGAGAACTAAGAAGGAACCGAACCCTGCCTCAGAAAAGCGTCAATGTAACCATTACTTAGGTGAAAAAGGAAATCATTATTGGCATTCCAGTAGTCCCTCTTCCGCCTTGCTTCCTTCAAGCCACTACCTCTTAAGGTTCTGTACTATCCATTTGTCTAAAATCATAGGATGAATTTAACATATTTTTGCAAATGCAACCATACAATATATCTTTTGTTCTGACTTTCTATCCCTTATTATTTTTATGAAATTAAACTTACAGTTTGTTACTTCCATTGCTGTGTAGTTTTTTTATATTAGTATACTATTTTTAAAAAAATGTATAAAAATATAAAAAATGTCAATAAACATTTGAAATATGTCCAGTTCCAGGAAATGTTAAAAATACTGCTGTAGGTGCTGGGGATTTAGTTCAGCAGCATAAGCGCCTACCTTGCAAGTGTGTGGTCATGAGTTCGATCCCTGGTACTGATAAAAACGAAAAAGACAAAAAAAAAAACATACTACTGTAAACATTGTTGTACATGTCTTTTGGTGAACATGTTAGTGTTTCTGTTATTCTTAGTGAAATTGCTGAGTATGTCTAGTTTTAGCAGAAAATGCCATTTCCAAAGTTACTGCTAATTTATACTTCTAGCAGCAGATTTAAGAGTTCCAGTTGCTGTGGTTGCACCCATTTGTAGAGGCAGGGTTTAAAACTGACTGTTGTGTGTATTTACTAAGATCCTTCCACTACCACTACTATAATTTTGTCTTCCTGGGACTGGAAGACTGTCAAATTTTTCTGTTTCTCAGAAATTTTTGTCTTGGGCTGGGGATTTAGCTCAGCAGCATAAGCGCCTGCCTTGCAAGTGTGCAGCTGCGAGTTCGATCCCCAGTACTGCCAAAAAAAAAAAAAAAAAGAAATTTTTGTCTTAGCCTTTTACTTTCTTCCACTTATCGATTTGAAATCCCCGTCTTCAATTTTTCCACTTTAGTCTTCAGTGGCCTTCAGACTCTTTGATGGTTTCTCTTTTTCCTTAGCATATGTACTTTGAGCATGACCTTACATTTTTCTGCCTAGATTCTGTGAATGCCTCAAGGAAAAAGCAGCTAGAGCCTTTGTAGTTCTTATTCCTTTAATAACTCTGAAATCTGGTAAACAGGTGATTTTTGTATTTCACTTTTTAAAAAATAAAGTTGAATACTTGTCTTGCTATAAATTATCTTATATGGTAACAGAAGTATTTATTTAAACATAGCTTATATGCTTCAATAAATTAGTACTACTGTCCATGGCAGTTTAAAAATTATTCCATTTTTGATGAGTGGAATCCTATTTAGAATTCACGTCTGAATCTTTCCAACTGAACTCTTACTTACAGTCTGTGTTGCTGTCTGGTATGATAAAATGTTCCAGGCTCATCATGTACCTTTTCCAAAGGACTCCTGCTTACTTTTAGGAGGAATTAGTATTTGAAGATTATAATTGGGTAGAGATTTTATTTTTATGGGATTGATTATAATTTCTGGGCATTTTCTGTGGAAATAGGTAGAAATTTATTTTCTTAATAAAAAGTAAAGTACATCAAGATGCTTTCGATTCAGATTGAAGGGTACAAAATTTTTATTATACCATTCTTAATTTCCCCTGATTATCTCTACTTTATTTCCATTCATTCTCTAAAGGTAACCATTATAAAAACTTGCCAAGTTGTTTTACATTTCATCTGACTCTTCTGTGTCTTGTTTTTGGTCTTTTGAGACAGGGTCTCATTCTGCTAGGCTGGCCTTGGGCTTACTTTGGAACCCTACCTCAGCCTCCTGAGTGCTAGGAATACCAACATGCACCACCATACCTGGCTACTGTTCTAATTCTTTTACTTTTTTTTGGCCGTACTAGGGATTGAACCACGGATCTTCGCTCTGGGCTACATCCTCAACTCTGTATTTTTTTGTTTTTTCCTTCCTTTGCGACAGATTATGACAAGGCTGGACTCAAACTTTTGATTTGTTATTATTGCAGAGTTTATTTTTGCTTTGTTGGGTGGAGGGTTGTATACTTACTTTAATGTAGTGTTGTTGTTGTTCATTTTGGGACATGGTTTTACTTTGCAGTTCAGGCTGGCCCTGAGTGCATTTTGTAACCCAGGCAGGTTTTGAACTCATAATGATCTTCCTGTCTCAGCCTCCTGAGTGCTGAAATTATAAGCGTGTGTTACCATGCCCAGCAAATGTAGATGTTTTTGAATTATAATTTTACTATTTTGATCTTCTCTACCATTCTATGTGCGGGGGGACATTGGGAAGATTGATAAGCTACATTGTCGTTTTTTGATCTTGTAAGTTTCCCCTCTACAATCTTTGTAATGAACATCATGTAATTTTGTAACTTCTCTTTTGCTTGTTCCCGTATCTCTTAAAATGCACTCCCTTCATTTCTTTACTGTTAGATTACTCATTTGTTATTGGCTTAGCAGATTTGAGATTTTGTTTCCTGTCTTTCCACCTTTTTTGTAGATTTTCAAATTGATGATTGGACCTAGGTTGATTGGTTTATTCGTTTTCACAGAACCTCACCAGAGTTCTCTGTCAGCATTGGCAAGACGTTTGTGTTAGCGTTAGTATTAGCATTAGCATCAGCACACTCTTGCGCGCGCGCTCTCTCTCTCTCTCTCTCTCTCTCTCTCTCTCTCTCTCTTAGGGACCAGCATGTATTACAGTCTACAGCTGAGCTACATTCCCATCTTAGCAGAGTCTAAATATGTGCATGGTGTTTATGTACAGAATGCTACGTTTAGGCAGATTAGAGATAAATTTGTAGGCAGTGTGACATAATTCATTCAATGTTAGCGTGATCCCTTCAAAGCATATTTTTTTTCCTGTGATGCGTATTTGTTTTGTATTCCTTCAGTTATGTAGCTGAGCATGGTTATCTTTTTTAAATCAGTCTTAACTTTGTCCTAGGTTTTATAGTTTGTTTTGATTACTGAATACTTGATGGTTATTTGCCATTATTGGTAAAGGTCTGGAGCATAGATTTTTCTGGAACTGTTCATGTTTGAGTTCAGTGTATAAGGAAAAAGACTGTGTGAATTTTGTTGAAGATATTCTCGAGTTAATTTTCAGCTACACGGAAATGGTTCCTTTAGGAGTCATTCATTTTTTCTTATTTATTGCTTGGTAAAAGGGTTAATTTTGTAGAAAAAGATTTATGACTTCAGAAAGCAAACTGCAAAAGTGGAAATTTCCAAAAATTAGTTATAAAAGCTATTAAACATTAAAAGTTGGAGCCCTGAGACAGAAATATAGGTAACTGTTATTGATAGATAATAAACTGCCATTTCCTAAAATGCCCCCTTTTTTTTTTTTTTGTGGTACCGGGGATTGAACTCATGACCTTGCACTTGCCAGGCAGGTGCTTATGCCGCTGAGCTAAATCCCCAGCCCTAAAATGTCATTGTTTTCAGTGAAAAAAGTCATTTTGAAGGGTAACTCTTAACGTTTTTTTCTTCCTCAGCTTCCAATTAAAACAGGACAGCAGAATACACATAACAAAGTTAGTACCGAACACAACAAGGAGTGTCTAATCAATATTTCCAAATACAAGTTTTCTTTGGTTATAAGCGGCCTCACTACTATCTTAAAGAATGTTAACAATATGGTGAGTATTTGGATTACTATTTTTGGGTGAATTTGTTTGTTTTGTTTTTTATTTAGAAACTCAGTAGCATAAATTTAGTTTATGGATGAGCACAGGTGTAAACTTAACTCTCACTTGAGTTTTATGTTCTTTCCCTTAGAAACTTCTATTAATGACTATTTTCTCTAATATTATCCTGAAATTAGGGTTTTTTTAAAATTAGGGTTTTATGTGAGTTATATATATATAAATTGACCACCTTGTATAATCTTTTATTATTTTTCTTTGTGATGCTGGAGATTGAATCTAGGTCCTTGTGTATATTATGCCAGATCTGCCTCTGAGCTAGATCCCAGCTCTCTGGTGTATAACTATCATACTATATTATGAGCTTTTCTTTAGCTTATTTGAATTTGCACATCAGATTTTTTCCAGTCCAAAGCAGATGATAAGTAACGTATGATCTCTTACTCCTGAAATGTGACTGATATTTATGAACATATTAGTGTTTTTATCCTCTTCCCTCTGTAACCTGTGACATTCTTTGGTAGAGAACTTTGTGTTGAAACACTTTTCCTTAAATTGTTACCAATTATCAATTTCATCAAGTAATTCTCTATTAAAAACTAACTCATAATTTCTTCTTTTTCTTATTTTATATAATCTGTTAATATTCCCTTAGCTTTATTTAAATTTATGACCTCACACTAGCCAGGCAGGCACTTAATACTGCTGAGCTAAATTCCTGGTCCTTAATTTTATATTTTTTAGTCTTTTTTTTAATCTGTTTGTTTTTTTGTACCGGGAATCAAACTTAGACCTTGCACTTGCCAGTCAGGCACTGTGCCGCTGAGCTATGTTCTTGGCTTCCTTTAATTTTAAAGTCCTGCAGCTGTTCTCTGGGTGTACCTTTGAACATATGTCTTATCTGCCTCAGGTCATCCCTTCCTTCCTGTCAGTTTTCATGAAGCCATCTCCTTGCTAGTGTTCATGCAGCTGATCTAGATCATTCTTTACTTGTCTTTAGCAGTTGTAATCTCAGTTTGTATTGTTTACATTGAGCCATAAAAGAACTCCTGGTTTAGGAGTGTGAAGATCAGTCCCATTTCTATAATTTTATTAGTGTCAATGTATTTCCTTAAACAGATTCCTTAATGACTTTACACAGCTGATGAACCTGAGGTGTGGGCATTCATTTGCCTTACAAAGATTTTTTTTGTTCATGGGAAATATTAACTTTTTCTAAAGAAACCAAAGGACTTCTTTATAAAATGTAAAGTGATTTATAGAAATGTGTTTAATAGGATGTCATAGATCTTTTGTTGCAGTGTATGAGGAACAGTAACAAGATTTTTCACACAAAAATATCTGACCATGTTCTCAGATACTTTTAAGCATTTTAGTATATGGGAACATCTTCAAACAAAGCAACATTGTGATATTGGTGTCTTTTTAATGCTTACTAGTTAAATCATGTTGTGGAATACATAGTCTTTTGTTAGTAAATAGTTGGTGTAGCAATTTGAGGATAGTGAATACTATCCTCCAAGTTTACCATAATTGAGGCACACATTTTGTTGCCATAAGAATTAAGCCTTTAATAAGACTTTGAGCTGGCGGTAATAATGTATCCTGTGATCTCAGCTGCTTGGGGGCCTAACGCAAGAGGGTCACAGTTCTGAGGCCAGCTTGGACAATGTAGCAAGATTCTGTCTCACCATAAAATTAAAATGCCTAGGGAGGTAGTAGCTCAGTGTTTCCTGTTGTTGTTTAATCCCTAGTACTTCAAAAAAGAAAAAATAAGACTGTGTCATGGCATAAAAGTATGGTGCTCAATTCAAGATTCTGACGAAGATCTGTGTATCATGTTTTTAAAAATCATAAACCAAAGCAACATGTTCTCCCTCTCTCTTCTTTTTTTGGCAGTACAAAAAATCTTTTTTTGGCTGTACTGGTATTGAACCCAGGTTCTTGAGTGCAGGAGGTGCTCTACACTGAACTATATCTTTATCCCCCTTTTGCCATAAGGTCTCTTTAAATTGGCTCTGCTGGCCTAGAACTTGTGACCCACCTGTCTCAGCCACCTAAGTAGGTGGGACGTACAGGCGTATACCGTTGTGTTTGGTCAGCATGACATCTTGTGCTGTCATAAGGCTAATAATGATGGTAGTTTGCCTTATTTCTGTTTGCCTGATGATATATTTTGTATGAAGTTAGAAATTATCTATTATCTGGGGCTGGGGATTTAGCTCAGCGGCATAGCGCCTGCCTTGCAAGCAGGCAGTTGTGAGTTCGATCCCTGGTACCGATAAAAAGGAAAAAGAAAAAAAAAAAAAAAGAAAGAAAAAAGAAAAAAAGAAATTATCTATTATCAGAAATAACAGATTTAAGCATGCTTTTATTTTTAGAAATAAAATGGAATGCTATTGGTTTTTCTTGATGCTCAGTTCCTCATTTTTCAGATGTGTATTGATCTATAGTAGACAGTGATAACCAACTTTGTGTTCAGATAGCTTCTTTTTTTTTTTTAGAGGATATTTGGAGAAGCTGCTGAAAAAAATTTATATCTCTCTCAGTTGATTATATTGGATACACTGGAAAAATGTCTTGCTGGGGTAAGTAAATCCACCCTCAAGTAGGTATGTTTTGTGAATTCAGTCTTGAGAATGATGCACTATACCAAAGCCTAGGTCTGGACAGAGAGAATGCATATGAATTTTTTTGTCTTAAAAAATATGCATATGATTTTTGCTAATGCAGCTGACCTGGTGCACAATTTTTCAAGAAAAAGTTATTCACTCTTTTGTACAATAGATACTAAGTTTGTTTATATAACATATTAGTTTCTGACACAGAGGCTTTCATTTTAGTTCTCTAGGGTTTGGTAGCAGCAGACCCAAGGCTTACCTTTGCACATACTAAATAAAAAAAAAAAAAATCTGCTCCAATAACATGTTAGTTTTGAGTTTTATATCTGCTTCAGGTTTTTAAGAAAAGATTTTTGTGAAGAAACTGCTTTTGGTTCATTTAATTTCTCAGATATTGTTAGGCCTGTGTCACTGAGTGGCAGTAAAGGCCAAGTGTAATCTTATTCTTGCTCTTCTGTGAATACAATCTTAATATTCTGCTATACAAATCTATATAAAAGAGAATTTGAAAATTGGACAGATACCCTAAGAATATATGTGTATATATGAACATATACAATAGGTACATGGAGGAGTAATTGAGTATCAAATAGTTCTTTTTCAGGTTTTCTCTAAGTAGTTTTCTCAGTGTATTTCAACTACAACTTAATCTGAACTTTTTCAAGGATATTTCTGTTGTATAAAACAAAGTGCTTCTTTTCTCCAATAATCTTAATTTTCCTGGATAGTGGGAAGGAGTTTGTATTAATATGTAAATTAAACATCTCTATGTAAAAGTTCTATGTATTCCATATATCAATTATTTCTTATATTTTCTCTTTCTGTGGCACAGAATTCACAACTTTGCCTTTATTCAAATATTTGTCCTTCACATGTTATCATTATCTGCAGTAAACCTGTAGGGAAGGGATTATACTATAGGGGGACTGACTGTGGTTGAGAAGAGAAGAAATGATCAGAAGTGTTTGGGAGGGTATTAGAAAAATAATTTGCACAGCTGTGGTTTTTTAGGGAAGACCATTGGCCACAAGATCTAACATAATACGTGAATTCTTTTATTGACCCTTGGCCATTTCCAAAATTGTGAGAGTGCTCATATGCATTTCTCACTTGAGAGGAAGCGAGTTGTTTTAGCTTGATGCTGTCTGTTACTCTGTGATATATTGTTGTTCATTTGTAAAATGGAGTGAAAGAGCAAAAGCACTATTTATTATATGGGATGATAAAACTGGGAAGGTGAGCATTTTAAAAAACTTTTGAATTCTCTTGTAGTAGCCTTACTACTTGGATTGTAAATTGGCCCCCCTCCCCCCTTCTTTTAAAACAAGGATTCACTACGTAGTCCAGACTGTCCTTAAACTCATTATATAGCCTAATTTGGCCTCAAATTTGTGGCAATCCTCATAAGATTATAGGTGTGTCTTGTGTGCTCCACCATGCCTGGCCTTTTTTGCCCCGGGGTGGAGAGGTCTTGTTGAGATAAGAGTTTTGCTGTGCAGTTCAGGCTGGCCTTGAACTCACTTTGTAGCACAGGATCGCCTCAAACTCACATTGATCTTCCTGCCTCAGCTTCCTGAGTGTTGGGATTACAAGAACGCGCCAGCATGCTTGGCCCACATTCTCAAGTGAAGGGAGAAGGATTGGTTTTGCCTCTTTCAGTCTGCAACTTTTCTCCCTTAACATTTGTAATTGAGGGTTAGTGGTAAGTGTGTTTTGGAGAATGATCCCTTGTGTTATTGGTTCTTCTCTGATTTAACACAGGACTTTTTGGAGATAGGACAGTGGAAATGCTAATAGGTGGCCATGGTATAAGTTGTATAATATATAAAATACATACGATTTCACCTACTTTAGTATTGAAAATGTGTAAGTTTGTGTATATGTGTGGTGCTAAGAATTGAACCCATGACCTTGTGCATGCTTGGTAAATGCTAAGCATTTACCTACGCTTTCATCCTAGTATATATTTTTCTATTAAATTTAAAACTTAAAAAAGTATTACTGCTTTTATTATTGAACAGTTGTTTTTCTTGGGTTCCTATCTGTAATCCTTTCCCTCTTCTCCCCTCTCCTCTCTGCTGTCTCCCCTTTTCTCCTCTCCCTTCACCTTCCTCTGTCTATCACTGTTGCTGTCGCTGCCTGTGTCTCTGTCTGTGTCTCTATTTCTCCATCATTACCAGGCATTGAATGCAAGGCTGCATCCCAGTCCTTCTTTTATTTTGTGAAAGGGTCATTCTAAGTTTCTCTGGGTGTGTTCAAAATTGCCACCCTCCTGCTTTAGCCTCCAGTATGGCTGTTTCTTGAGATTCATTGTTATTTATTTAACAACTTTCATTTTCCCTTTAATAATATCTTGTGTTTTGTTAATGTCTAAATTTGATTATTTTTTGATCAAATTGAGACAGTTTGAGAAAAAGATACCTACAAGTACATGCATTGTATAAATGAATTGAAATAGCTAGATAAAGGAGAATGCCCACTGGTATCATATGACTAAAACTGTAGAATCTGAAGAATCTTACTGTGTGTGAATTATTGAAAAGATTTAATACTTTTCTAATTTTTATCTATTGAAATTAACTTCAACATCTATAACTGATTAGTCTATAAATAAAAAATAGACACTGCGATTTAAAGTTTGGAGTTTTTGAGAAATTAGTGTATTTACTGTTCATATATTTCAATGTATTTGCATCTGAAAGCATTTGGATTATAATTAAAGAATTACATACAATTATATAAATTTTTCTTTGCTCTCCTGCTTAATATTATCAAAGTTTTCATCTGCCTATCTGTACTAAAGCCATTAGGTAAAATAATGATGTAGAATAGCTTATCTCCAGGATGGCTTTTTGTTGAACCATTGATCCTTGTAGACATTTGCTTTATGAGTAAAGATGTCAGTGGTAATAAAGTTACCTGTTATTAACAGATTGCCTCCGTCATGCACTCCTGATGTGACTGTAATATTAATTGTACTGAATTACCTAACATGTTTAACCTGAATCTAATCAGATTTTTAGGTTTAAATTCTAGGTTACAGAAAATACAGTAATTAGAAGAATGAGTTAGGGGCTGGGGGTTTAGCTCAGCGGCATAAGCGCCTGCCTTGCAAGCAGGCAGTCATGAGTTCGATCCCCGGTACCGATAAAAAGGAAAAAGACAAAAACACAAGAACAACAAGAATGAGTTAAGTTATACCTAGGAAAGAATCAGTTCTTGAATATGGAACTGTGTGTAAGGTAAGGGACCTAGTTTCATAAGCAACACATTGTCATGGGATATAAAATTGATGGAATGGTATGTATGTGTGGAGACTGCTACAAGATAGAGAAACTAATGGAGCATAGCAGTCGTAATGCAGCCTATGAGCCTTTTTTATGTCCTAGCTTAATAAAGCCATGAAAGACATTTGGGAGCATTGGTAAAATTTAAATGTATATTTGGTATTAGATGATACAAAGGAATTATTTATTTTTCCTTGGTGCATCCATTGTATTGAAATTATGTTGGAGGAAATCCTTATTTTTAAGATACACTGAAGTACGTTTTGTGAAATATTATGAAGTTTATAACTTCCTTTGCAGGGATTCAACCAAAACAACATTTGTAGTAAGCAGTACCTTTTTTGGTTAGTCTCCACAAAGACAGGTGTGATTGCTCACCTAGAAATTTCTTTGGGTATTAAGACAGATGACATATGTACTCACCAATGAATGTGAATAAGATTTTATCCAAAATATACAGCAAACTGGAGGTTTCCAGGTGAGGAAGGATTCATTTGATGAGTCAGAGAATAAGCAGAAGGGAGACACAGTGGGTTGGACTTTCTGATTATGGGGTGAAAAATGGGACTATTTTTTTCTTTTTGGTGGTACTGGAGATTGAATGCAAGGCCTTTTACTGAGCCACGTGCCTAGCCCCTCTTCTGTTTATTTTGAGATAAGGTCTTGCTAAGTTGCCCAGGCTGGGTTCGAACTTCCCTTCTTACCTTAGCCTCCCAGAGTGCTAGGATAACAGGTGTGTGCCATCCCACCTGACTAAACTATCTTTATTAGACTATCTATAAATAGTGATATTAAATATGAGAAAATACTAGCAATTACTAAATATAAGCAACTGGTGTATAGGTGTTCATTCTGCTCTTATGTATGTTTGAAAATTTTCGTAAAAACAAATATTTAAAGATAAAATTAAAGTTTCAGAAGTATGTGATTATTTTTATTTTAGCAACCGAAGGACACAATGAGATTAGATGAAACGATGCTGGTCAAACAGTTGCTGCCAGAAATCTGCCACTTTCTTCATACTTGTCGTGAGGGAAACCAACATGCAGCTGAACTTCGGAATTCTGCCTCTGGGGTTTTATTTTCCCTGAGTTGCAACAACTTCAATGCAGTCTTTAGTCGAATTTCTACCAGGTAAGTATGTAAATCATATTAGATTGTTAAAGTAATATAAACTTTAGAAGTCTCTTTTCTTAGTTACATAAAAATACAAAGAACAAAAATCAAGGATCGGTTTTATGTGGGCTTTTGTAGAGATTTTATACGTTAATATCTTTTAAATTTTAAGTGTGTAATATTGTGATATTGATGTGTATAATTAAATATGACTACTGTATAATCTTTTTTTTTTTTTTTTTTTGGTCTTTTTCCTTTTTTATCGGTACTGGGGATCGAACTCACGACCGCCTGCTTGCAAGGCAGGTACTTATGCCGCCGAGCTAAATCCCCAGCCCTACTGTATAATCTTGAAGGTCTAAATTTTAGGGAAAGATAATTCTTTTCTATACTGAGGCTTAACTCAGGGCCCCATTTGTATGCATATACTGTTACTAAGCTGCAGCCCCTGTTCTGTGTTTTTAAACCAGTAGGTATGAACTTTTGCTTTGGTTTTTATAGACATACTCTTTATACTGTTAATCAGGTAAAGCAGTTGATGAGTAGTCAGAATTTTAATGATTGTAAAGCTGTGCTTCTTCCGTCTCATAAGATCCTAAATTACTAAAAATAAACCTAAGCAAACTGGATATGGTAGCACACACTGTAATCCCAGCACTTGGTAGGCTGATTTAGGAGAATTGAAGTATCACAGTAGTCTTCACCCTGGGATATATAGTGAGTTCAAGGTCAGTTTGGACTATGTGGTGTGACGTTGTCTCAAAAGACACGTGAAAAAGTTAAAAAAAACAACAACAAAAAGCAAGCTTAGCAGTATAGAAGCACAAGGAAGAAATTGCAAAATAGAATTCCCCAAGTATGTATAAAACAGTCCATTTATTATTATAGTATATACTGCACTGTATTATCCTTTTCATAATTCTAATAAGTAGGTGATATATTCTACATTTTTTAAAGCGATAACTAATACCTCCCAGATAGTTAAGGTGATATGCCAAATAATGAGTGACCCCAAGATTCTAAGTTAAGCTGGTTTCAGAATCTGTATTAGTTTCATTATGTCAGATTATTTCTGATACTTCTATTTTAGCAATATCTTTTTTTTTCCTTTGTCTTTTTTGGGGACGAAGGACAGGGCTGTGTAATTCAGGCTGGCCTCGAACTTACTGCATAGTCTGGGCTGGCCTTGAACTCATGGTGGTCCTCTTGCTTCAGCTTCCTGAGTGCTGGGATTACAGGCATGTGTGACCATACCCAATTTCTATTTTAGTTGTATCTTGATGAGATTCTTTTCATAGTATGTACTTCTGTGCTTTAAAAAATATATCATAATTTAAGCCCTTACTGATTATTCAAAATAATCACTATTGGAATTAGTTGCGGCATGTTACAAACAGAGAAATTGTATAGCTGGCGTGCTAAGGGTTGAACTTCTGATGGTACTAAGTGACTCTGGAACTTGCTTTCATGCGAATGGTTTGCCCGTCTCACAAAGTTAATGCTCATGTATTAATCAAATAAGTGTAACAGGAAGCATTCAGAGATTTAGTGAATCAAAGACTAATGCAAAAGAAAGCAATTCTCTTTGTTTATTGTTTGCATTTTTGATTTCTCAGTGTTATATAAAAAGTGGATGTCCAAATTGATTAACTTCAAAATCCTACAGTCTTTTTAATCCAAAAGTGATATTCCTATAATTATGGTGCTATATCACAGTAGTCTTCAGCATTAACAGAATACATGGTCAAAGAAAATTGAAATTTTTGTTTAATGGTATATGATTTATGCTTTTACTATTTTGGGTAATGTTTATATGATAGAACAATATTTTCATTAAATATTTTGAGTAATCCTATTTTATGTTCTGATTAATGATACACTGAATCTGCAAGGTGCCAAATACCTAGGGAACAGGAGGCTGGAAAGTTATAAAAAACAAAAGATCTTCTCACTTACTTCCCACTAGGTCAGCCTTACTATTTGATGGTAGACGTGACACAAAGAGTACAGTGTTAGTCTACCCGTGCATAAGTTGTGTCTCACGTTTCATTAGTGTCCAGGTGATGGACTGTTCATAATTTGGTGGGAGGGTTAGTATCTTATGGTTGTCAGAGTATTAGGTGACTTAAAATGTTCAAGTGACTTGCATGGCATTTTATTTCTGAGGATTAATTTTATATTTCATATAAAACAGGTGATACTTCTTTATGCTCCTTGTCAACAAGATATTTCTCTTTTAAAGTAAAGATTATTTTTTTAAAATAGGGCTAGTTGTGTAGCTTAGTGGTAGAGAGCTTGCCTGAAATGCATAAGGCCCTGGGGTTGATCTATGGGTTGGGAGCAAGAGATACTGTTTTTCTAATTCTGTTCCATACTTTCCTATAAGTGATGATCTTAAGATGGCTTTGTTATTCTGTGAAGTATCCTGTGGTTCAGTACTCTTTCATGTAGAAGGTTAGGCGATTCTCCATAGAATTATTGTATAACTACTAGATCTTGTTATTTTTATAGTTGGAAAGCCTTTAGAATCCATATCTAGCCGGGTGTGGTGGTTCATGCCTATAATCCTCAGCATTTGGGAGGCTGAGGAAGGAGGATCATTGCAAGTTTGAGACCAGTCAGACTGGCTACAAAGTGGGCCCAAGGCCAGCCTGAACTGTATAGTGAGACCCTGTCTCAAAACAAACAAAAAAAAAAGTACATATCTATTTTGACATACCACCAGGAGAAGACTCAAGGGCTTTAAAAGTTACTTGGTTCTTTACAGCTCTGCTTTTTTATGGTTTTAGTTTTCCCAAATAGTTTTTAGTTTCTTCTCTAGTCATCTAAAACACTTATTTTACCTTCTCTTTAACATTGTTTTTTTTCATTTAATTTAAAGAAAGACTAAACAAAAACTGGATAGAAATAATACATACATTCAAAGAAAAAATAAACAGTAAGAAATCACTAGTTGATGTTTGTTTAGAGGACATATTGTCCTCTTACAAATAGTTGTTCAAGATACAAAAGTAGAGCATATAAAGTGGGAATTCAAACAGTGAGACTGCAAACAGTTCTGTTCAACTGTCCAACAAAAACTTAGTAATATGATTATCAATCCTATATACTTAAACATACATGCAGTTATCCATATCTTCATTTATGTTGAGATTAAACAAACTAAAGCAGGCTAAAATCATTCTGAATAAAGAAGAATATTGCTGGATTTCATATCGTGATACTCTGGGATCAGCACTGGGTACTGTAGTGTCTTTTTAAAAAAATTTTATTTAAAGAAAGACTAAACAAAACAGAAAATGGGTAGAAATAATACATACTTTCAAAGAAAAAAATAAACAGTAAGAAATCTCTAGTTGATGTTTACAGATTGTCTCTTACAAATAGTTATTCAAGATACTAAAGTAGAGCATATAAAGTGGGGATTCTGACAGTTGAGACTGCAACCAGTTCTGTTCAGCTATCTAACAAAAACTTAGAAATATGGTTATCAATCCTATACACTTAAACATACATGAAGTTATCCATATTTTCAATTATGTTGAGATTGAACAAACCCAAACAGGCTAATAACACTCTGTACAAAGAATAATACTATTGCTGGGTTTCACATTATGACACTCCAGGATCAGCACTGGGTACTTTAGTGTCTCTTTTTCTTCAGAGTATTTGTTCATTTCATCATGTGTCATAGATCAATTCTCATAAACTATTTATAGATTCTACACATGCATAAGTCTTAACATGTATTTCTATCCTTTCTACTTTAGAGGGAGAAACAAAACAAAGCAAGACAAAACAAAACATATTCCTATAAACACAAGAAATGAAAAAGACATACAAGACCGTTGTACAAGGAGTTCTACCATAGTTCCTGTGTTGTCTCCAATAGAACTGGCTATATGATTAGACATAGTATAATTGAATATATCAGTACATAACACTATTAATAAAAACCACAACTTTGTATATAGTATATAAAACATCAAACCAGAATGTGTATGGTAGAGTCTTGTCATCTTCAGTGTAGTTGCCTATACTCTCAGACTTGTTACTGTCAATCATATCAGTTTTGAATAAAATCTATTGATACCAAACAGCAATCAAACAAACCAGATTTAACTAAGATCAGTCATGATAAAACAGTACAAGTCATACAGGGGTCCAGATTAAGTTAATAGAAAATTAAAAATGATTACTGTGCTATATCCTGATGTGTTTGGGATAGCTGTCTGTGGCCTCAAATCTAATGCAAGTAGACAAACGGACAGAATAAAATCTAAGCAGAGTAGTGCGAGTAATATGGGCTTTAAATCCTGATATACTGGGTATTTTTTTTTAATTTAAGGAGAAAAAAAAAAACAGAAAAAGGGTACAAGTTATACAGAATCTCAAAAAATATCCTGACTGTTAGTAGGAAGTCACTAGTTAATCGATTACATATTGTTATCTTAGAAATAGTTGTTCAAGTTACAAAATTAAAGCATATAAAGTGGACTTTCAAACAGTGAGACTGGAAACAGTTTTGTTCAATGATCCAACAAAACTCAGTAATATGGTTATTTATCTTATACACTTAAACATATATGCAGTTATATTCTTTAGAGCACTTTCTTTTCCTTTCTTTTGTACAATGACAATTACACATTTTGGGTTTTATTACTCCCACAGTTCTTACTACTATTTTTTTGAAGAGAGTAAAACCAAATGTGCCATAACAGAACAGAGTCAGTCAAATCAAAAGGATGGACATAATAGATAATGTAAAAACAAAATACTAGGTGATCAACAATGGTTACCATACTGCCTCTTGCTATCTTAAAAAGAATTGCCTATGTCATCAGTTATAATAAAATTGAACAAAACAGTAAAGAATAGAACCAAAACATTGGAGACATTACAGGACTTTAAAAGAAGATAATAGTCAACCGGAATGGGCGTCATAATGAATCTTACTGTCTTCACAGTTTTGCCTATACTTTCAAACTTGGTACTATCAAGCAAAGCAGAATAGAGGA